TTAATTAGCTATTGTTTGCAAATAAGCAGAGGCCTACCCAGGTGTTAATCATTCCTAGTGGGCGGTGATTTTAGGAGTTATATAAGGCCTGGTTCCATTAGCTTGTCTAATATAGCTTGGTGTTACTTCCAAGTGCTGTTTCTAAGTGTGTCGTTGGAGATATTCTGGAGAGTTTTACAGAAGCTTCAACTGTCTAAGAGTTGTGCTAAGAGCTTTCTTTTCTACTGTTACAGGTAAGATTCATCTGTAGGAAAAGGTTACTGATTGCACAAGGTTTGAATTCCTGTTGGTAATTATAAGGCATTTGATTTGATTAAGCTAGTTACTTGCTGTTGATTGCTGGTTAATTAGCTATTGTTTGCAAATAAGCAGAGGCCTACCCAGGTGTTAAACATTCCTAGTGGGCGGTGATTTTAGGAGTTATATAAGGCTTGTTGTCATTAGCTTGTCTAATATAGCTTGGTGCTACTTCTAAGTGCTGTTTCTAAGTGTGTAGTTGGAGATATTCTGGAGAGTGCTGTTTCTAAGTGTGTAGTTGGAGATATTCTGGAGAGTACTGTTTCTAAGTGTGTAGTTGGAGATATTCTGGAGAGTGCTGTTTCTAAGTGTGTCGTTGGAGATATTCTGGAGATAACCTGGAGGTAATCTGAGGTATTCAGGAGGATAAATACAAAAGTTAAGATTTGTTCGATTTATATTATTCTTATAATTGGAATGGCAGGTTTAGTTCAGTGTAACAATTGCTATGCATTTGTTTCACGTTCCACTTTTTGGAGGTTTGGTTGTTGTCTAATCTGTAGACAGTTCTCTATCTTGCGGCAGGAGATTGTATTTTTGAAGTCTGAGATTTGTAAATTATCTGGTGAAGAAACTCAGACTGGAACTGCTGCAAAGCCACTGCCGCAGAGACATGCTAGGAAAGGCAGATGGATTACTGTAGGATCTGGTAGACTTAGAGTTGTGGATAAAAGGCATTTTGCACAGTCTGTTGCTCTTCATAATTCATTTTCTGCACTTTCAGAGTGTAATGGTGTTGTGGAGAGAGGCACTGAGGCTAGTGGTGTTGTGGAGAGAGGCACTGAGACTAGTGGTGTTGTGGAGAGAGGCACTGAGACTAGTGGTGTTGTAGAGAGAGGCACTGAGGCTAGTGGTGTTGTAGAGAGAGGCACTGAGGCTAGTGGTGTTGTGGAGAGAGGCACTGAGACTAGTGGTGTTGTGGGTGAGAGGCACCGAGGCTAGTGGTGTTGTAGAGAGGCACTGAGGCTAGTGGTGTTGTGGAGAGAGGCACTGAGACTAGTGGTGTTGTGGAGACCGGCTTGGAGAGTATGGTGAAGCCTAATAGAAAGCAGTTGTTGTTGGGTGATTCCATTATAAGAGGTGTGGAGATGGACAATGGTGGTCTTGTGAGGTGTCTTCCCAGAGCTACTGCTCACAGAGACAGGAGACATATCTGTAATATTGTTAAGCAAGCAAAGCAGGAAGGGGAATTGGATGTACTTGTCCATCTAGGGACAAATGACTTGGCTTGCAATGAGGTTTCAGAGGTTAAGGAAGTTTTTAGTGTTTTTGCCAATGATATACGGCAGGTTGCTTCCACACTGTCATTCTCTGAAGTTCTGCCTGTGCATAACACTCAGAACGACAGGCGGATGCGTATTAGGGACTTTAATTTGTGGTTTGGTGAATGGTGTCGGGAGCAAGGATTTGGCTTTATTTCTCATGGTAGCTCTGTTTGGAATGGAGATAAGCTGTACAAAAAAGATGGTTTGCATCTTTCTCAAAAGGGAACAAATGTTCTCAGTGAGCAGTTCAGAGGTTTTGCTAGGATGTATTTAAACTAGGAGGGGGGCAAAAGGGTGATAAAACATCAATCCAATTGTCCCCCAAAACAAGGACAGAAGGTGCCTGTAGCAAGTGTGTTAAAAAATGATAAGCTTAGAGTCATGTCTACAAATGCTCGCAGTTTAGGGAATAAGATCCATGAACTTGTGGCAATAATGGCAACTGATAGTGTAGATTTAGTCGCTGTTACTGAGACATGGTACAATGAGAAAAATGACTGGGACGTAGCAATACCAGGGTACTCTTTATATAGGAAAGATAGGGAAGGCAAGAAAGGGGGAGGGGTGGCCTTGTATGTGAAGGATAGCATAAAATCTAGCCTAATAAAAGTTAGTGAGGCAAACATAGAGTCCGTTTGGGCTACGTTAGAATTTGGTAATCGCACAGTAACTCGTGTAGGTGTGATTTATAGGCCCCCTGGACAAATTGAAGAGTTAGATAATCTACTAGTTGAGGAAATAGCTAAAATGACAATGAAAGGGGAAGTTATCATCATGGGTGACTTTAATCTTCCTGATGTAAATTGGAAAACAAAATTAGCTACTTGATCCAGGAGCACACATATTCTAAACTCCCTACTGGAGTTGTCTCTAAAGCAAGTTGTTGAGGAGCCAACTCGTAAAGAGGCCATACTAGATTTAGTGTTAACAAATGGAGATTTGGTATCAGATGTTACTGTAGGTGAAAGTTTAGGATCCAGTGATCATCAGTCAGTGTGGTTTAATATAAGAACAGTGACTGAGTCACACCACACAAAAACAAAAGTTTTAGACTTTAGAAAACAGACTTTTCTAAAATTAGAATATGGGTAGAGGAGTCATTATCAGACTGGAGCAATTTAAATGGAGTCCAAGAGAAATGGGATTATTTAAAAGTTGCACTATTGAAGGCAACAGAAAATTGCATTAGGCTTGTCAGTAAAAGCAAAAAATTCAAGAAACCACTGTGGTACTCCGCAGATGTGGCCAAAATAGTTAAAAACAAAAAGTTAGCATTTAGGAATTATAAAAAAACCCAGAGTGAGGGAGACAAAATGATCTATAAGATTAGGCAGAAAGAGGCTAAGCAAGTTATAAGAGCTTCCAAATCACACACAGAAGAGAAAATAGCACAGTCAGTAAAAAGGGGGGATAAAACATTTTTTAGATACATAAATGAGAAAAGAAAAGTAAAACAAGGATTAGTTAGATTAAAAACAAAAGAAGGAAGGTATGTAGAAGAGGATAAAGGTCAGGCTGACTGCCTCAATGAATATTTTTGTTCTGTATTTACAGTAGAAAATGAAGGAAAGGGACCTCAGTTGAGAAAAAGGATAAATGAGTCATTTATTACACGTGAGTTTACAGAGGAAGAGGTTCTATTTCAACTGTCAAAAGTAAAGACAAATAAGTCAATGGGACCTGATGGAACACACCCAAAGCTATTAAAAGAGCTTAGTGGTGTACTAGCAAAACCATTAACAGATTTATTTAACCAATCATTGTTAACAGGAGTAGTCCCAGAAGATTGGAAGTTAGCGAATGTTGTGCCCATTTACAAGAAAGGTAATAGGGAGGAGTCGGGCAACTATAGGCCAGTAAGCCTTACTTCAGTAGTGGGGAAAGTGATGGAAACCATGTTAAAGGATAGGATTGATGAACATCTAAAAACACATGGATTTCAAGATCAGAGACAACATGGGTTTACTTCAGGGAGATCATGCCAAACAAATCTTATTGATTTTTTGATTGGGTAACTAAAATTATAGATCAGGGTGGTGCAGTAGACATTGCTTACCTAGATTTCAGTAAGGCTTTTGACACTGTTGCACATAGAAGGCTTATCAATAAACTGCAATCTTTAAGTTTGGATTCCAATATTGTTGAATGGGTAAGGCAGTGGCTGAGTGACAGGCAACAGAGGGTTGTAGTTAATGGAATATATTCGAAGCTTGGACTTGTCACCAGTGGGGTACCTCAGGGATCTGTACTTGGACCCATTCTCTTTAATATTTTTATTAGTGATATTGCAGAAGGTCTTGATGGTAAGGTATGTCTTTTTGCTGATGATACTAAGATATGTAACAGGGTTGATGTTCCAGGAGGGATAAGCCAAATGGCAAATGATTTAGGTAAACTAGAAAAATGGTCAGAATTGTAGCAACTGACATTTAATGTGGATAAGTGCAAGATAATGCATCTTGGACGTAAAAACCCAAGGGCAGAGTACAGAATATTTGATAGAGTCCTAACCTCAACATCTGAGGAAAGGGATTTAGGGGTGATTATTTCTGATGACTTAAAGGTAGGCAGACAATGTAATAGAGCAGCAGGAAATGCTAGCAGAATGCTTGGTTGTATAGGGAGAGGTATTAGCAGTAGAAAGAGGGAAGTGCTCATGCCATTGTACAGAACACTGGTGAGACCTCACTTGGAGTATTGTACACAGTACTGGAGACCGTATCTTCAGAAGGATATTGATACCTTAGAGAGGGTTCAGAGAAGGGCTACTAAACAGGTTCATGGATTGCGGGATAAAACTTACCAGGAAAGGTTAAAGGATCTTAACATGTATAGCTTGGAGGAAAGACGAGACAGGGGGGATATGATAGAAACATTTAAATATATAAAGGGAATCAACACAGTAAAGGAGGAGACTATATTTAAAAGAAGAAAAACTACCACAACAAGAGGACATAGTCTTAAATTAGAGGGACAAAGGTTTAAAAATAATATCAGGAAGTATTACTTTACTGAGAGGGTAGTGGATGCATGGAATAGCCTTCCAGCTGAAGTGGTAGAGGTTAACACAGTAAAGGAGTTTAAGCATGCGTGGGATAGGCATAAGGCTATCCTAACTATAAGATAAGGCTAGGGACTAATGAAAGTATTTAGAAAATTGGGCAGACTAGATGGGCCGAATGGTTCTTATCTGCCGTCACATTCTATGTTTCTATGTTTCTATTTTTACTGGAGCAAAATTTGTGTGATGGTAGTCACCAGCTGCTGCTGGAATTTCACATCAAACCACTGCACATTTATGAGCGCTCTCCATAGCCACCAGTTCCAGAAGGCATGCAGGGGTCCTCGTGGTATGTTGGGGATCTCTCCAATAGCTAGGAAGCCATCCCACTCCTGCCACCACTTCAGACCGGAAGACGACTCATCAAGGTGTTTTATCAAAAATAAAATACGACAATAGAAACATGAAGAAAGAAATAGAAAATCTCGGTGCCTAGCTTAATTACACCAGTGAGCTAAAAAGTAAAAGTAAGGTACAGGTTACCTCCTTCACACCAGCCCCAATATCCACCCGCCAGTTTGTAGGCATCTGGGAAGGACACACACCCACTGTCACAATAGGCCCCATCCAAGAGGCAGTAGGCACCATAGACAGGAAAAACGAAAGCAAAAGTCAGAAAGGGGAGGGGAAGCCGCCGTGAGTAAATGAATAAGGAGGGGAAGAGGGGCTGGCATGGGCAGGAGATCCCTGAAGTCACCCAAAGGTGACCTCTCCAACAAGAATTCGAGGTAGAAGAATAATCCCCCGGAGTGATCCTTAAAGTCCCCCTGGTAGGGGATAAGAGGATGAAACCAGCGACTTTATGAGGCGTGAAGAGCAGTTGAGGTGGGGGACTGAACCCAACCTGCCCATCCCTCAGCCGCCTACATCACTAGCCATCCAAGGGCCCCAGACCTTCTCGAATGTCTTCATAGTGCCCCTCACCTGGGCCGTTAGCTTATCCATTAGACAAGTACCCTTGATTTTTTTGGACTACTGCTTCCACTGAAAGAGTCTCCCTCTGAAGCCAAACTTGTGCTAACGCCCTCCTGGCTGCCAAATTTAATTTGTTTAATAGTTTTTGATCCGTTTTCGGCCAGTCATCCAAGGGTCTAGCTAACAAAAACACCCAAGGGTCTAACAGAACTTCTTTACCTAGAACATCCCTCAGCAAATCTTTAATCCTTATCCAATACCCCTGCACGTCTGGACATTCCCACCACATGGGAGATAAGTCCCCCTCTGTTCGCACCCTCCCCAACACAAATCTGTGGGGATCTTATGCATTCTACATAATTTAACAGGGGTGGTGTAACATTGAAACATAGTCTTATCAATTTTTAATTTGGATAACTTGCTTTGTATATTTTTTTTTTTTTTTGTGAAAATTAATGCCTCATTTTTTATTTTTGTATGTCAAGTAACGCTAGCGTTTTATAAACAGGTTGAGATAAGATACGAGTCAGCTGTCTTTAGCTAGTAGCAAAAACAAACACATTAAGCTGATAACAGGTTGAATCTAAACGTACAGGTGCATATACACCGAGCTGGCGATGGGCAAGCTAACTGTGTAGGTTAATATAGTGGCTGGTTATCTCCCTTCCCTGCAGAGCCATCCTGTGCAGCGGTAAGACTAGGTAAAGGGAGGCTCGCCGGATGCCATTAACGTGAACCTAGGTGGGGGACAAGAGGATAGCTTACTCATTGCTTTTAGGTCCATAATTTTGGCAGTCCAACGTCCCACATGTGAGGGTAAGTCCAAGTTCAAATGCCTAAAATGGCCACCGGCAGTAGGTTTGAGGTGTCATCTCCCTCCATTATCGAGTCATCAGTGCAGTTGCAGCATATGGTGGAGTGTGGGAACGGGGAGTGTGGCTGATTGTTAGGTCGATGGAGTCAGCCGATACCTTTGCTGGGCTTGCTGGGAGGCGGCACCTGGGGGTACCGGTAAGCGGAACGGGCGCACGTGTGGCGGGGGGTCCCTCCTCCGCTCCAGGCCTTGTTGACGGTCGGCACCTTTGGACCACAGACTCGGATACTCTGGGAGGCCGGGTCTTTTCCTCTGCGGGCGCTACGGAGGAGCCTGGTGTTCTTCCACCGCCAGCGGCGTGTGGCTTTCCGGCATTGTGGCCTGTGCCTCGGAGGGGTTATCCTCACGACCTTTGGCCCAGATGGGCTCGTGCCGTTGGGTATACGCTGTGTAGCTGCGCCCGGGGAGGGTCCATTCCGCCTCTTCTCTCTGCTCCTCTCCACATCTCCTTCACATGGAGGCGGTGGTTGGGTTGCTCGCCGTTCCAGTGTCTCCCAGAAGCGCTGAAATAAGGCGTCTAGCCGCTTTTGCAGTGGCTGGTAGGGCGCAAGCTTGGGCGCGTGGTCCTCCGCCACCATGTTGCAAGCAGGGAGTAGGCCGCTTGGTGTCATCGATGTGTGTGGCATCTTGTAAGCCAGGTCGGTGTGGGCCGGGATAACCCCCACCGGTCCATAGGGGGGGGAACGTGGGCTCTGCCGATTGTCAGCCGAGTGTGGTGGCGGCGGGAGAGCGGCCGTCTCCCCCGGGCCGCCCGTGCGTGTAGGCCGCATGTGATGGCCGAGCGGTATCAAGCGGGATTTCCACTTGTGTGGCATCATTATGATGGTCTCAGGCTCCCCTGACGAATATCAGCTCGTGGGTGTCTAGTTTAGGTGGCTGTGCAGAAAAAATTTGGTTTCATTTCTCATTTGTGGCAGGAGCTGATGTTGCCTGCGTCCGCTCAGCTCAGCGGCCAGGCCCCGCCCCCTGCTTTGTATATTTTTAAGGTATTGTCTACACAATGCATGCAAAATAATAGGTCTATTCCAGCCTGGAGTATTGCTTTAATAATATATGTTGCGTTACATTATTATTTAATAAGCGTGATGTGAGTTATTTAACATAAAATACAAAAGAAACAACGTCTACAGGTAGTGGCTGTCTAAAACCAAACTAATCAGAATATTTGATAGAGTCCTAACCTCAACATATGAGGAAAGGGATTTAGGGGTGATTATTTCTGATGACTTAAAGGTAGGCAGACAATGTAATAGAGCAGCAGGAAACGCCAGCAGAATGCTTGGTTGTATAGGGAGAGGTATTAGCAGTAGAAAGAGGGAAGTGCCATGCCATTGTACAGAACACTTGTGAGACCTCACTTGGAGTATTGTACACAGTACTGGAGACCGTATCTTCAGAAGGATATTGATACTTAGAGAGGGTTCAGAGAAGGGCTACTAAACTGGTTCATGGATTGGGGATAAAACTTACCAGGAAAGGTTAAAGGATCTTAACATGTATAGCTTGGAGGAAAGACGAGACAGGGGGATATGATAGAAACATTTAAATATATAAAGGAATCAACACAGTAAAGGAGGAGACTATATTTAAAAGAAGAAAAACTACCACAACAAAAGGACATAGTCTTAAATTAGAGGGGCAAAGCTTAAAAATAATATCAGGAAGTATTACTTTACTGAGAGGGTAGTGGATGCATGGAATAGCCTTCCAGCTGAAGTGGTACAGGTTAACACAGTAAAGGAGTTTAAGCACGCGTGGGATAGGCATAAGGCTATCCTAACTATAAGATAAGGCTAGCGACTAATGAAAGTATTTAGAAAATTGGGCAGACTAGATGGGCCGAATGGTTCTTATCTGCGTCACATTCTATGTTTCTATGTAATCCACTAAACCAGTAGAGGATAGCACTCTAAAACCAGACTAAACCAGTAGAGGATAGCACAGGTTTAAGTACCTGTACACCTTATTCAGCGTTGCTCTGTAATGGCCGGTTTTCTGTCAGACAAGACATCAAGAGATGCATGGTATTCAGATATTGATTTGGTATTTTCTGAAGGACACTTGCAGGAAAACATTACTCATACAAATATAAATTCAGCCTTTAATCATTTGACTTTCCTTTTTAAACAGCAAATAAGAGCGGGATGGGAAATAGCCTCACTTGAAAAATATCTAAGTAAAGAGCTTATCACAAGAGGGCTAAGAGTACACCCCATATATTGAGGAATCTGAATTCATTAAAGAATGGGAAGAAGCGCCAGGAGCATGTTCATGGAAATTCATGGACATTCTATGTAGATATGAGAATCAAAAGCTAGAAAAAGTCAATAAAGAGGTAGATGAGGAGATCGTAAAAATTCAAATATATAAAAATTAATCCAATTTTGAACAATTAGAAATTAAATTGAAAAACCAACTAGATAGATTCCAGACCTCAATCAAAACACCAAAACACTCCAAATTTATGAGGGATACGAAAGATTTTCAGACTGGTAACATATATCGAAAATTCAAAAGAAATAAGAAAGTAGATTTTGATTAATGTTCTACTTCCAAATATGATACCAGTGGTTCTAAGCCAGAATTGAGCTCAGAAGGTCCATCAACATCTACTGATTCCAACCCAAAGAGCATCCTTAAGAAAGGGTTTAATTTTTTAGAAAGACAAACATAGGAGAGTCCAGCGAAATACAAGGAGCAAATCCACAACACGAGGTTACAAGCGGAGAAAAGCCTATTAATACAGGAAAGTCAGATTATAAATCTGTCTTCCTATCAACTTAAGCCATTGGAAAACCAAGTGCTTAGAAGAGGGTTGTCCTTTGCCCCTACACCCAATTTTGTCCCTACACCCAAAGTTTGGTTGGACAAAGGACATCCATCTCTTCGCACGCAAATTGGCACTTCACAAATTTCATTGTATACAAAAAACAAAGCGGGCCTCTAGGTTAGGCCTAGAGACTCAGGACATGGATCTCCTTGATAACCTGATTGATCTTCTCAACAGTAATGATCCTCCTAATAGAGTAGAAGCACCATTCACCACCCTGAAATTAAAAAGTAAATTCACTCCGTGCATCCATGAATTCAAATACATTGATCTCTTCATAGAACTCACCTGCAAAGAAATTGAAGGCATGGGTAGAAACGCATACCCCCTTAGCCAATATGATAATCTGAATCAACCTGAGAGAAAAGCATTAGACACTCTGAAACAAAATGACTCTATTATCATTAAATCCTCAGATAAAGGGGGAAATATTGTGATCATGAATAAGAATGACTACATTCAAATGGTACAGAGAATATTGAATGATAAGAGTACATATTTTATCGGGAAGACCAATTGTATCAGGCAATAATAATCTTACGCAGAACTGTAGGGCATACGTGGAATTTATCCTTCGGGATCTTGTCAAGACTCTCCCTTCCTACCTGAGGGACACTAAGCAGACTCTCAACATACTTAATGATACGACTATACCAACTAATGCTAGGCTCTGCAGCCTAGATGTGGAGCGTCTGTATAGTTCAATCCCTCATGAAGTTGGCATCAGACATGTGAAAAGCTTCCTCTATATGAGGGATTCAACACTAAAGGAACATAGTGATTTTGTTCTAAAGCTTCTACACTTCATTCTTTCACACAATTATTTCCTGTTTAGAGGCAAGTACTACCACCAAGTGAAGGGCACTGCCATGGGGACAACGTGTGCCCCCTCTTATGCCAATCTTCACTTAGGTTGGTGGAAAAAAATGTGGTCTTCAGTCCACAACTTACCAAATATACAGAATATGTCAACCTCTGGAAATGCTATATCGACGATGTCTTGATAGTTTGGACAGGCCCTGAGGACCTGTTCAATAGTTTTGTGGAGGAACTAAATGTCAATGTCATCAACCTTAGATTTACCCATGAGGTTGGTGGACATAAACTTAATTTTCTTGATATTACCCTAGAGACCACACATAACAACTATATATCTACCACACTCTATAAAAAACCTACAGCAACTAATAATTTTCTTAACTGGGAGAGCTATCATCCCCCCGCATTGAAGAGAGGGATACCAACAGGCCAATACCTCAGATTAAGAAGGAATTGCTTCTCTCATGAGGACTTTAAGATAAAAGCCCAAACCCTCAGGTCCCATTTTAAATCTAAAGGGTACCCAAATAAATGTCTTAAAAAAGCACATCAAAGGGCACTCCTTACAGAGAGAACTGATCTGTTAACTGACAGTCTCTCTCAGAGTAAAAATCTAAATATCATTAGATGTATTGGGACCTTTGATTTGGGGTGGAACAGGGTTAAAAAAACAATGGAAAGGTTTTGGCCACTACTTTACCAGGATTCACATCTTAAAGAGGTCTTGACTACCTTTGTTTCTCTTACAGCAAGAAGGGGTCGAAATCTCAAAGATATCCTGGTACCCAGCCATCTTTCCACACAAAATGTTACCAATACATGGTTAAAATCCCCTGCAGTGGGTACTTATCAGTGTGGTCGCTGTAAAGCGTGTAAATATACCAGGAAACAATCAAAAACTTTTTCAAACTCAGTAAATTCAGAAACATACACAACTAAAACTTTCTTAAATTGTCAGACAGAAGGACTGGTATATAAATACATACAGAGTAGGTGGAGTGTCTTGGTTCGTGGATGCAAAATTGACAACATCTAGTGCAGTACCATAAAGTACATAAATAGCTTAATGTAGAATATGTGATTCAGTACTCACAAAAGTAGAGCCAAAGGTAAATGGCTCAATTCAAATGCCTGTGGGATGATTATAAGGGTTCCCACTACCTTTAAGTGCAGCAGCTGTATCTGGATTCCTCGATGGTTTTGTAAAGGAAAACCATAACCATTGAGGTAGGTGAGAAGACAATTCTTCTTTTAATGAAAAAAATTTCACATAAAATACAGGTAAAACTTCAGAATACAAAAAAAAGAGTCTCTGATAAAAAGCCACTCAATGTGGTAAAGTCATAAAAATAGTCCACCATGGGATAGCAAGAAGGACTGGTATACCTCATTACCTGTAGCTGTAATTTGAAATATGTGGGCAAGACTTTTAGACCATTTAAAAACCGCATTTTAGAACATGTAAACTCTGTTAATCCATCTAGACAGACAGATACACCAATTTCGCTACATCTGAAAACTCAACATAGTGGCTCGGCACAGGGGTTACGGTTCAATGGCATTGAAAAAATCAAAATGGGCCCAAGAAAGAGAGATCTAGATAAAAAACTCCTACAACGAGAAAGTTTTTGGATTTATAAATTAAAGACATTATCCCCCTTAGCAAACAAACAGAAGGATGGGACTGCGCCAGTAAACAAAATAAGTAAAATAAAAAAGCCCTGGTTGAGGTAGAACTATTAAAATAGAGTCCAGTATAATGAAACTTTGGTCTTATGTTGGTCTCTGAAGTTGTAGAATTTTGCTCCTTACTGGTATATGGAGGAGGGCGATGGATGATGGAAATGATGGTGGTAAAGAGTGATCCAAAAGGTATCCAAATAAAAAAGAAGAAATAATACTCACTTTTTGTAGAGCTTATTCCAGCTCTGGTATGAATAGCTTGCACCTCCATATTGGAGGTGGCAAAAAACATATTAGTGGTAAATAAGCATTTTTGCATAAAAAGAAAGGGTAAAAAAAAGGGAACAATTATAGGAACACATAAATAGAAAAGGACATGTTACTTGTAACTTATAATGGAATGTGGCATAATAATAAACAGCAATAAGTATAAAAGAATTAAAATTGGTATATAGAGTAGATAAGGATAAGAAAGAGTTAAGAACAAAATATAAAAATATAAAAAATTGGTAAAAATACAATATTATATAAAATTAAATAAATCAAAGTCAGCATTTAAACCATTTGGGGTTAAGGTTTTTAAATTAAAAACCCATTCAATTTTTTACATTTTATGAAAATATTTTTTATATTGCCTCCTCTCCATGGAATAGTGCATTTTTTTATACCAATACATTTTAAATGGCCTGGATCGTTGTTATGGATAGAAAAGTGTTTGGATACAGTGTGGTTTTGGTATCCATTGGTAATGTTACGACAGTGTTCGCCTAATCTCGTTTTTAGGCTTCTTGTGGTCATGCCTACGTATTGCAAACCACATGGGCATTCCAGGTGATAAATTACATTCTTAGATGCACAAGTGATAAAATCTTTAATATTTTATGTTTTGTTGGTTTTATTTGATTTGAATTGTGTGGTTTTGGATTTGGTGTACCTGGTTGGTGCATTTACAAACTTTACAGCGTTTGCACTTAAAGAACCCTTTGGTATTGGGTAGGAGGCGGGATTGGGGTTTTGCCAACATCCTCCCTAGTAAAGTTGGAAGTTAGGATTGATTTAAAGGTGGGAGCTCCCCTAAATACAATATTAGGTCTTTCTGGTATGATTTATTTTAAAATATCTTCTTGCTTGAGCAAATGCCAATGTTTCTTTATTATTTTTTTAAGATGATTACTTTTATTACCTCTAGGTGTAATACGTTCGTCAATGTATTTTTTTAGGGTAGCAATTTCCCATTTTAATTTAATCTCTGTGCTTAGGACCTTTTCCAACTTTGTAAATAGTTCTTGTTGGCTAAAGTTGGTTTGTCTTAGAAAAACAGGGCTAATAGTATCTGTATTAAATGCACCGTTGATGTAAATTGTATAGTTGTTTCTGAAGTCAAATAAAGACATACTAGATAAAGAAGCTGCTAACTCGAGAGGGAGACAAAGATAACAAAAAACAGAGAGTAGAGTCAGCGCTAATATATCAGAAAGAGATACAAAAGGCAGCAATCCCAAACAAGGACTCCCTCAAGTGTCCTTGAGATAAATACGGAAAGCAAACAAACAGAAGGATGGGACTGCGCCAAGCAAACAAACAGAAGGATGGGACTGCGCCAGTAAACAAAATAAGTAAAATAAAAAAGTCCTGGTTGAGATAGAAATATTAAAATAGAGTCCAGTATAATGAAACTTTGGTCTTATGTTGGTCTCTGAAATTGTAGAATTTTGCTCCTTACTGGTATATGGAGGAGGGCGATGGATGATGGAAATGATGGTGGTAAAGAGTGATCCAAAAGGTATCCAAATAAAGAAGAGATAATACTCACTTTTTGTAGAGCTTAATCCAGCTCTGGTATGAATAGCTTGCAGCGGTATTATCCCCGCTTATAGGATATGCGGTGAGTCTCCTCTTTGGTGTAGTGAAAGACAACCAGGGGGAAGATAAAACGAAAAACAGTGATGGTGCAGTATGTTCCAAAAGTAGATAAAAAGTTTTAAAATATAGTAGATACATTCACATTTAATAGAGCTTATACTAGCTCTAGTATAGTAGGCATACAGCGGTATGATCCCTGCCTCTGGGATATATGGTGAGCGTTCTTTGAAATAATTCTTTAAGATGGTAACAGGAGCTCAGGGAGAAGATAATAAAACAGCAATAGTGCTCTCAGTAAAATAATACTGGTATATAAAATATAATAAAATATACTCACAATGTATAGGGCAGGCTAACTGCTCTATGGTATAGGCACGGGTGGTATAATCCCCACCTCAGGATTCTTTGGAGTATAGGAGATAATAGGTAAAAAGCAAGGTAGTTATAATAAAAAATAAAACAAAAAAATAAATAAAAGATAATGGTGCAAAAGAATAAAATGACCAAAATCTATTTATTAACAGTAATTAAAAAACAGTACAATATCCAAAACGCGTTTCACCAATATAGGCTTTATCAATGGATTAAAAACATGTCAACCTGGCTAGTTGGGGAATATATAGGCTTGAGACAACTTTGAAAATTGCGCCAAAACTGCTCCGACCAATCACAGAGCAGATTGCGATTACTCACAAATAACAGCTATAAACCTTTGTAAATACATAGATATAACTGATAGGATATGGAATATATAATTATAGTGTAAAAACGAGGAGATTATAGAAAGAATTTTCTTACTATTAACTGAATCATGTGACGCGTGTCACTTTGGTCGCTCGGTATTCTGGGGCATGTAGTTGTATCATAAACTACATGCCCAAGCTTACTTCTGGGAGAATTGTGGAGCCATATGATAGGCTCAAAAGAGGGGAGTGGCCGAGGACCGGAGGGGAGAGGAGGGGAGAGGAATGGGTAATGGCCGGAAAACGGCTAGGTAAAAAAGGAAATGGGTGTGGCGGCCATCTTGGTAGGGGAATAGACACCATAAAGCTATGTAAAAAACATAGCAGCGGCCATATTGGAGGTGGCAAAAAACATATTAGTGGTAAATAAGCATTTTTGCACAAAAAGAAAGGGTAAAAAAAAAGGGAACAATTATAGGAACACATAAATAGAAAAAGACATGTTACTTGTAACATAATGGAATGTGGCATAATAATAAACAGCAATAAGTATAAAAGAATTAAAATTGGTACATAGAGTAGATAAGGATAAGAAAGAGTTAAGAACAAAATATAAAAATATTAAAAAAATGGTAAAAATACAATATTATATAAAATTAAATAACTCAAAGTCAGCAATTTAAACCATTTGGGGTTAAGGTTTTTAAATTAAAAACCCATTCCATTTCACATTTTCCCAAAATATTTTTTAAATTGCCTCCTCTCCATGGAATAGTGCATTTTTTTATACCAATACATTTTAAATGGCCTGGATCATTGTTATGGATAGAAAAGTGTGGTTTTGGTATCCATTGGTAATGTTACGACAGTGTTCGCCTAATCTCGTTTTTAGGCTCCTTGTGGTCATGCCTACGTATTGCAAACCACATGGGCATTCCAGGAGATAAATTACATTCTTAGATACACAAGTGATAAAAGCTTTAATATTATATGTTTTGTTGGTTTTATTTGATTTGAATTGTGTGGTTTGTATTTGGTGGACTGGTTGGTGCATTTACAAACCTTACAGCGTTTGCACTTAAAGAACCCTTTGGTATTGGGTAAGTGGCGGGATTGGGGTTTTGCAACATCCTCCCTAGTAAAGTTAGAAGTTAGGATTGATTTGAAGCTGGGAGCTCCCCCAAATACAATATTAGGTCTTTCTGGTATGATTTATTTTAAAATATCTTCTTGTTTAAGCAAATGCCAATGTTTCTTTATTATTTTTTTAAGATGATTACTTTTATTGTTAAAATTAAATATGATGGGGAGACTGGGGTGGTTGTTGGAATTTTTTTCTTTATAGTTTAAAAGTTCTGTTCTTTCTTTAGTTCTAATAACATCTATAGTATTGTTAAGGTTATCCAACGGGTAATTTTTTTCCGTGAATTTCTCTCTCAAAATCTCTGCTTGCTGATTAAAATCTTCTATCTGAGAGCAGTTTCTCCTTAATCTTAAAAATTGACTTTTTGGTGCACTTTCCAGCCAAGGCTTATAGTGGCAACTCGACCGGTCAATGGCTGTATTTGTGCAAAACTTTTTAAAAAACGTTTTGGTGTTTAAAATACCATCTTTGATGAAAATTTCTAAGTCTAAAAAATTAATAATAGTTTTGCTATATTCACAAGTTAAAATAATTCCTCTGTTATTAGTGTTGAGATGGTCAATAAATGAATTGAGTAGGTCCTCAGAGCCGTCCCATATAAAAAAAGATCATCGATATATCTAAAATAGGCAACCAGGTTTGCCTGCCAGGCATGCTCGGCCCAAATGGCAGTGGTTTCCCAATCTGCCATAAAGAGGTTAGCATAGTTGTCCCAAGCCTATATATACCCCAACTAGCCAGGTTGACATGTTTTTAATCCATTGATAAAGCTTATATTGGTGAAACGCGTTTGGATATTGTACTGTTTTTTAATTACTGTTAATAAATAGATTTTGGTCATATTATTCTTTTGCACCATTATCTTTTATTTATTTTTTTATTTTATTTTTTATTATAACTACCTGGCTTTTTACCTATTATCTCCTATACTCCAAAGAATCCTGAGGTGGGGATTACACCACCCGTGCCTATACCATAGAGCAGTTAGCCTGCCCTATACATTGTGAGTTTATTTTATTATATTTTATATACCAGCATTATTTTACTGAGAGCACTATTGCTGTTTTATTATATTCTCCCCGAGCTCCTGTTACCGTCTTAAAGAATTAGTTTAATACTTTTTATCTACTTTTGGAACATACTACACCATCACTGTTTTTCGTTTTATCTTCCCCCTGATTGTCTTTCACTACACCGAAGAGGAGACTCACCGCATATCCTATAAGTGGGGATAATACCGCTGCAAGCTATTCATACCAGAGCTGGATTAAGCTCTACAAAAAGTGAGTGTTATCTCTTCTTTTTTATTTGGATACCTTTTGGATCACTCTTTACCACCATCATTTCCATCATCCATCGCCCTCCTCCATATACCTGTAAGGAGCAAAATTTTACAACTTCAGAGACCAACATAAGACCAAAGTTTCATTATACTGGACTCTATTTTAATATTTCTAACTCAACCAGGACTTTTTTATTTTACTTATTTTGTTTACTGGCGCAGTCCCATCCTTCTGTTTGCTTTCTGTATTTATCTCAAGGACACTTGAGGGAGTCCTTGTTTGGGATTGCTGCCTTTTGTATCTCTTTCTGATATATTAGCGCTGACTCTACTCTCTGTTTTTTATTATCCCCCTTAGGTCTAAATGAGGGGTTTTCATTAACTTTTTTATTTCTGATTAGCTATCGCCCTTATATAAAACGAGCACGTTATTCATTTACATATTTGTAAATTATGTATATAGGTTATCTGGTTTCTTAAGTTCACATATTTAATTTAGGGTCTTGTTACAAAAGACTGGAAATAACTATGTTACTGTTTTAATAACCGATTGATACTGTTTGTCCCTGCATAAGTTTAAAACGAAAAGACGCACGAATGGATTACCCGAACCATTATAACAGACCTATTCGTGGTACGAACAGCGGACCCCCCAGAATTGCCGTGTGCCGCCACTTAACCCCGTCACCCCGCAAACTGCCGAACGCTCGACCACCCAGCCAGCGGCGTGTGGCAGCCATTAACCACCCAGGCAGCTGCGGTTTGCGGTTACCCTCAGCGTAATTGAGAGGCCTGGGGGCATCGACGTTCGCATCCAAATACCGAACGGAATCCACCGAACTATTAACCGAACAACGACCCCCTACAGCGGGCCGCGTGGCGGTCATTACCTTGTGGTTTCTGCGGTTAACCGCAGGTCAAGTATCCTGTTACCAGGTGGTCCTCATTCCCTTACCGAACGAGCCCCACTACCAGACAGACAGCGGGACTTCGCATGAACTGATACCGAGTTTAGTTCCATGAGTTAGACACGAAGTCCCGCTGCCCGCTAACCCAGCAGAAAACATGGCCGCCAACAAAGACTAACAATCTCAAAATGCCGAACGGACTTTATACGGCAGAAACAGTCCAGTCTGTTCGTGGATTAGAGCGCCATTCGCCTGTTTTATATACACGAACGCGAGCCTTCAGATGAATGGTAGAATAAGCGGTTTCCCTGTATTAATATAAAAGTTATGGATTTTTATGCAGTTTTCTGGGACATAATAAAACGTGGTCTTTTGTGCGCTTGGAGATAATTAGATTGTATAACCGTTGGCCTCATTATCTCCAAGCTGGGCGGGTACTAATTCAAATAATGCCTGTACTGTGATTGGATATTTGTCTGTACTGTACCTGTATTCCATCAGGTCCACAGGGGGCTGTCCTTGGACCTGAGGAATCACATAAATTGCCATGCTATGTGCCAGTAAAGCCAGTTCGTTTTGACCCTCAACTTGCAACCTCGACTCACGTTGTAGGGATCCGGGATATTGATGTTTATATTGTGCTTGGGAATATTCTACATTTGCAGCTTACTACCGAAGGACCTCCGTTCAACTCTCTGCAGCGGGAACCAGGACATCCAAGCGATCAACCCTCCTGCTAGACCGGGGGCTATCGTAACAGGTCTTTTATTTGTAAATGTCCTTTGCTGACCCCTAGTGGAGGTTGGTTACAGTCTTATATTCGCATTCCATTCTATGTCCACGGATGACATCTCCCAATATTAATGTGAATTAATTTGGATGAATAAGTTTATCCCCCGATAAGATAATATCATGTAGACTTGATTTCCAAAATTGTCGTAAATCAAATGGGGTCTTTCGAGTTTCACTGGATCCCTAGACTCAGTGCAAAATGGCACCTTAGAGGGATCATTGTAGCAAATAATGTTAACTATGTATATTTATGTGAAGCATTAATTCTATCAGATTTTCAGTTCTATTACTAATAGCATTAAACCCTTGTCTCTTAGGAATATACCGATACCTTGAATCTGGTTAGTTCATTGCTTCTTCCAGGTCGGCTCTAAATTTACTTCTGATATCTATGTCCAAGTCACCCGTAGTGGTTATCTATGGAATGTATAGCGAGCCCGGCATTTACTTATGCCGTTCTCTCTAAGATAATGTATAGTGGTAATACATATTTATTTATTTCCACACGGTGTGTATTTGATTCCTTTATGGAATGCATAGAGAGCTCGGCATCCACTTACACCGTTTCTTTTAAGATAATGTATAGTGGCAATATATATTTATTTCCATATTGTGTGTGCTTGACCCCTTCTAAGGAAGACCTTTATTGGTAAGATTAGGGTTTATTTTATGCTATTTACCTCTATGACGATATGTTACCTACTGCCATAATGGGTTAACGCACACCATCATCTATTTATAATACCTTATACATCCATAATAATAGTTTCAGAATACAAACCTTCCAACAAAGATGCCTAGGGCATCATAGGGTTAATTTCGCCATCAATCGACAGTTGAAAGCTCAAGAATGAGGGTAGCCGCCGGATTGTACCATTTGAAAATCTCATTTGAATAATGAGATATCGGTATTCTGGCGCCAATATTCTGACTTCTGATTGGTTGATGTCTAATGTCCCAGCAAGGATATGTGTTTATAAGAGAGACCCGCTGGTCAGTACGGATTCAGCCCCTGACGAAAGGTGCATCACTTAGGCACCGAAACGCGCGTCGGGTTGAGGGGTCTTTTCCCTCACTTTCTCACTTCACAGGACACTCTATCACTATGTGCAGGCAACCAACACTTTAAGTATGGTTCTGCACAATAGCTCGCTTTTATTTTAACACTGTTTCTTTCTACCTCCGTTATTGCCTTATACTTTATTTAAGTGGAGTTCTTCGAGCATTTTGCTATTATTGCTTTCTTCTAATACATTCCCTCATTTGCAACTAAAGGCCTTTTGGATACATTTTATCAATCCTATTACAAACTATGCAGCGCTTAGCCATATTGAGCTGCTGTCTTGTTATCATTTTTGGATAGAGGTGACTACAAACTATCCAGTGCATAGCCATACTTGGTTGCTGTTCTGCTATCATTTTTTGATAAAACTGACTACTAATTATCCTATGTATAGCCTTATTGAGTTGATGGTTTGTTATTATTTTTGACATAGCTTTTAATTTTGCACAATACTCCTATTTATCCCATTAAGGTGATCCATATTCTCAGACCACTAATAGTGGCGTATACTATGATTACATTTATGCTGCTCTGAGTATTTCTGAACACCACAGGGTTAAGGCATTTTCCTAGGTCTCTCATTATAACTATTCTGATTTATAGCCCATATGAATCTCAGATATTGACCAAACCAGGATTATATCAAAGTCTAAGTCTGAGAACTTTAGAGACTATTCTAGAGACACTAGGACAGGAGGTTAGCCATTTGGCTTGTATTACCCTTTTGTCTGACCATTTATTATTATTAATTTTTGAACTTATCCACCTATACCACTTTTATTTATTTATATTTATTATTTTTCAGCAACTAGATTTCCAGTTGATACTTATATATCTGGTATTTTGAGCATCTTGTTTGTAGTTTATTTAACATAAAGCCTCAATTTCTAACAAGATCCACAACACAGGAAGCAGTGTGACCTGTGCCTGATGCATTGAGAATGTACTAAGACCTATTAAAGACCATGCAAAAATGGACATCAATGCCATGCGGTACAGTCACCGTGGAAACCAGAAGAACTGCAGATAGAACTGTATAATGGTTATAAAATAGAATGGTTCTATTGATTATATCTCTTCAAATATTCATCCCTACATCCAGCTAAGCTACTCACGGGATTAAGGAAGGCTGAAAGTACCATCACCACTGCATATTATTGTACATCGTATTATAATGGTTTTAGAGGGTGGAGACTTTGGATGCAGTCCCAATGATATTTGTCAAACCATCTCTAAGCAGTGAGACAAAAAAACATGGTTTACTATCAGTACTGAGAGCATTTTCCATTCTGCTGAAGTTGCAATAATGATGAATTTCTCTTTTTCATAATCTGTCCAAGTACAATGAGCTGTAGTGGTTATGGTGCTTAAAGAGTCCCTTGAAATGTGAACTTGTCATCTACATATTATTTGCGGAATGCCCAGATATCTTTCTCACTATTTTCAATCTGGTAACATTGCCCCAAGTTTGTTTTTGTTTTCTGCTTACATTTTTATTTAAAAAACAAAATCATTCAAATTGAAGTTTTAATTTCCCCAAAAAATAATGGCCTTTCGTCCATTCCTATGCCCAACATCCGTAAAACCTGTCCTTGAGAGAGCTATAGAGCTGGTTTATGCATCACTCCTATCACTGAAATCTAGAAAACTGGGTTGTTTTCCTATATCTAGCCCCAGGGAGTTTCTCTCATTTGATACCTATTTTTTATTTAAATGACTATCAAAATCCCCACATGAGCTAATGGGACAGTAACGAAAAACATGTTTTAATTAAATTTACAGCAAATATACATAACCGGATATGCAAATAGACAGATATTATAGTTAAATATTATTTCTAATGTATAAGGATCCCACAGCTGTAGCGCTGCAGAAAATTGACGAGCATTGAACACCACATTATATAAAATGTCCTGTGTAAGATATCCTACTTATTAAAAGGCATTTAACAAGCCACCTCTGATATTCCTGCATTCTATTTAGTTAGTGGCGAACTGCAACAAGCTACAGACCTATTTTCAACATTTACACCAAAATAGCTGATTTAGAAACTGAAAATGTTTTTACACCTCCCCTATTTTGTTTTAAATAGGTTTTTATTGTGAGCGTCAAAGACAATTCAATTCCTACACAGGAAAAACTAACAAAATGAACCAATGAGTAACAAGTGAATACATGAAGCACAAGTTCTGTAAGAATAATAATTGCAAACTGAAAGGTATGAAATGCTGACTTCAGCAGTAAATTATAAGTGCATGAATTGCATAAAATATATATGCAGAAGGACATTGATATCATCTTCCACGTTGAACACAAATTATTTCGCCAACTGCTCTAGCTTGCCAATGTCAACCACATCCCCGTTCAGGCCATGCGCGACTCTAGGGGCTTTTAAGGGGAGCCTGTCTTAGCTGATAACTTCAGGTGTATAAAGTCGGTAATGTGGGTTCAAAGCCCCTGGATCTCACAGAGCAGCAGCTCCGCTATCTGTGAGGGAACAACTAGACAGATATTTCTACTAGCTTGCAACAGTCCATTTGAACTTTGCAATTGTATAGTATGTATTAAGATATCTATTATTAAACTATATCTATTATTGGACTATTTAAATAAAATGGATAAACATTAAAAGTCTTGTTTCTTTTTATAAAGATGAACAAAAGTTACTAAACATGTTTATAACAGCAATATGCATTGCATAACTACTTTAGAAAATACCAAATATACTGCACATTGAGGAGACGTGTAACTGCTTACTTATGTAAGGAACCTGATACTTAAAAAAATACTTGTTGCATGAAAAAGTAAAACGACAGATATAAAAAAAAGAAAAAGCAAATGTATAACATGCATCTTTAAACACATTTGTAAAATAAACGTCATGTTCTAATGAGTTGATTCTTACAGAAAATGCAGCACTTTTTGAAAAAGTTTTTTTAATGTAGAGAAAAAATATTAATATTTAAAAAAAAAATTCTACTGTTTCGAGCTGCATGAAAGCAATTAACAATATGAAAAGAAATTTTTTTTTTTACCTTTTTACCATTCACAAAAAAAATCAATTCATCGGCAGGTTTCTCTAAGTCCATGTTGAGCAAATGGTCACAGATTCCGCAGATGAAAACGTCCTTTGCTCTACACTAGCTTTTGAGGCACTAAAATGTTTCCAGGCCAATGTCTGATCATCAATAATTCAGCAGAGAGTAAGATTTGAGCTAATAAGTGAACAAGTTTGGATTCTGTAATAACTGTTGGGGAGGGAGGTATAACCCAGCCCTTTCTAAATCCAATGAAGAGAAAGAATCTTTATCTGTGTACACCACTGTATTTAACTCGAGCTCTGAAAGTTCAAACAGATAATTCATTAGTAATGCTCTAATTATTAGTTTGCATTGCTCAGTTTGTGATAGTTAAAATATGAATATTCACACCCTCAATTTTTTAACCTTTGTTTTACTATAACATCAGTCACCCTTTTTATTTCTGTAGAGAGGATTTTCAGGACTGAAGAAAAAGCGTTATTTTGTCCGTCGGTCATGCGTGAGATGTTTGGCAATCATGTTTAAAATAAAATCAGGAAGTATTACTTTACTGAAAGGGTAGTGGATGCATGGAATAGCCTTCCAGCTGAAGTGGTAGAGGTTAACACAGTAAAGGAGTTTAAGCATGCATGGGATAGGCATAAGGCTATCCTAACTATAAGATGAGGCTAGGGACTAATGAAAGTATTTAGAAAATTGGACAGACTAGATGGGCCGAATGGTTCTTATCTGCCGTCACATTCTATGTTTCTATGTTGTGCACGGGTATCTGGGCTGTGGGAAGCCGAGGACCCTTATTTAGTGTTAAACTCAGGGCCGGTGCAAGGATTTTTGCCGCCCTAGGCAAAAGTAAAGTTTGCCGCCCCCCCATGTGACATCACAATGCACCACCCATATGATCTGCCATGTTAACTAACGCCAGTGCTGCAGTGAAGCCGTGTTTACATTAAAAGGCCTGCAGGGACAGGCTATAGACACCAGAACCACTACATTAAGCTGGGGACTATAGTGTCTCTTTAATGTGAGGTAAATTAGAGATTAGTGCCACGAATAATATACTAGATTGCCCACTTACAACCAGATGAGGATGCTGATGGGCTCTGGCTGCAGTCTGGCTCCACTGGTCTGGTGTAGAACAGGTTCTCTGGAGGCGGTTTGTAACTGTGGTCACAAAAATAAATGTTCTGGGAGAACGGGAGGCAGATGCATTTTTTGGGGGCCCTTTACACAGCTCAAGGTCTGGGTCCCAGGGTCCACCTTCATGTTCCACCAATGAGTTTGTTCACAGGGGGTGGAGTGTGTAGGGATGTCCTGATATGTGTGTAAGGAATGCATTGTGTGAATCTGTGTTTGTATGTGTAAGGGCTGCAAGGTGTGTTTCTGTGTATGTACAGGATGCAGTGTGTGCGTCTGTAAGGGGTGCATTGAGTGTGTGTAAGGGGTGCATTGAGTGTGTGTAAGGAATGCATTGTGTGTTTGTGTGTGTGTAAGGGATGCATTGTGTGTAAGGGTTGCATTGCTTGTGTGTGTGTCTGTGTGTGTGTAATGCATTGTGTGAGTAATTGTAATAAGTAGGGGGAGTAATTAACAGCCAAACTGTATGCCAATGAAGTGTTAGTATGTTCTAATACAGGGATTCAAGCCCCCATTCTACCCTTAGGCAATAATAGAGTCCTCTGTGAAGCACAAAACCAGTTGGGTTGTTGATAAACCCTCCTCCGTTCCCTTCCAATGCAATCCCCTTCGCACAGGAGGCACTCTAGTTCTGTTACATCCTAAGGGATTGACTAAGGGAGGTGTGTCCAGCAGAAGGAGGGACTAACCTGTTTAAAGCCCTGTTTTCTGTCTCTTTAAATTCACCCTCCTCACCTTTTCCCTCTCTCCCCTCTCCCCACTATACACACCCTCTCGCTCTTACTCTCAGCTGACGATCAATGGAGTGGTAGCTGTATCACGTGTCTATGCCTGTTTTACTATGTTAATTTAGCCTACTTTCCATTCAGTGAATGATTAGTTTTAGTAGCAACATATACTAGCCTATTTCAAATGTATATGTATTGTTTATTTGTTTGATTAGCCTCTATTAATAAATATTATTGAATTGCCAAAAGCAAGGAGTGTGGACTCTGACTTTACACTCAGTTTTTAAGTTATTATTTTATGTTATTATTTTTAGTTAATGTTTTATTAATTCCACGTTTATTCCAAATTGCGAGTTAAACGTTTATTACATTTGGCAAGCCATGTTATTATTTTCTACCACCTTTTAAGCTCACTTGCAAGGGGGGAACAATCCAGTCTTCTCCAGATACATGTGAACTATAAAAGGGGCCAAAATTAACCAAACCAATTTTTGTTTTATTTTTTGTGAGTGTTTTCGGCAATACGTCCAGGGCCAGGATGTGCGGGATCCAACAGAGGCAACCAGAGTGAGATGCAGTTTGTAAGCCAGCCATCACTTCTGGAGGATCAGAGATAGCCAGACCAAGGATTCAAAGTGGGGTGCACACCATTTGATTTGCCTGCAGTCTGAAGACACAAATCGTGTAAGTCCTTTTAGCTTTATTTTAAGAATGGAAATTGTAGCAGAGTATGCGGCGTCTAGCAGTTTTGATCCACTAATGTTTGATAATGAAAATGAATTTAAGAAAATGCATTGCGTGTGGTTACAATGCGAAAAAGAGAACATGAGAGTAGAATAAAAAATGGTGTTTGAATAAGGATAAACACAAAATCCAAAATTGCATGAAATTGTTGATGTTATTAAGAAATCAATTAAATCAGATACTTTTGGGGCACACTACTGTGGCCTGTGTAAGTACTCAGAAATATAGTGATTGTCCAACATGTGGCTTAAATGCAGACTATGTAAGTACATTAGAGGACAATTATGAAGCGAGAGGAGAGCTAATTTCATCGCTTAGAACAGGTTTAGCTGCACAAACCCCAGTGGCTGTAGGTGGCCAGGGCCAGATTAGGAGCCCATTGGGCCTGGTGCTGACAATTATGATGGGCCTAATTACAGAATCATATCGCCCAAAAACAGTAAAACACTCCCAAGCGTCATGTATCTGATGGAGATGGTGCTGGAGAGAAAGAAAACGGCAGCTATAAGAAAACACATACCCTATGCTAATCTAATCTCTAATTTATGTTTTTATCTTTCAAGTAAATCCATAACCCCTAACAGCAGTGTCCAGTCAAGCAGCAAGTAAATGGGTGTGCCACTGACACAAATCATGTAACCTGCCAAAAGGGGCGAACATGCCCAAAAAGAGGACATGTCTGCCCAAAGAATTAGAAGGCCAGCCTGGCATGAATGCATGTCAGGCTGCCTGCCAATCATGCAGCTGGCCAACTAAGGGCATACTATGCAGACAGCACCCTGAGCTTGGCATAAATGCATCTAATGATGCTCTCGCTCAATGCTTTCTAAGGACTGTCCCCTAGCACTCGCTGGTCCACTTGTCTCCTTACCTTCTTACTAGCAGGCAGACGCTCCTGGTATATAGTCTGGGACAGAGCTGTATGTAGTGAGTGTAGAAGAAAGGGAACATGCCACAGTGTTAGAGCGACCACAGTCAGCATTACCTTAAAGGATCACTATAGGGTCAGGAACACAAACGTGAATTCCTGACCCTATAGTGTTAACACCAACATCTAACCCCCCTGGGCCCCTCATGCCTCCATAAATATAGTAAAAATCTTACTGTATTTAAGCCTGAAGCTGTAACTCTGCATGCTGTTAGACTCAGAAAAACAAGCAGTCTGCTGACATCATTAGAAGTGGTGGCCTGATCCAATCACAGTGCTTCCCGATAGGATTGGCTGAGACCGACAAAAAGGCAGATATGGGGCAGAGCCAGCATGATTCAAACACAGCCCTGGCCAGTCAGCATCTCCTCATAGAGATGAATTGAATCAATTAATCTCTATGAGGAAAGTTCAGTGCCTGCATGCAGAGGGAGGAGATACTGAATGTTTGGATGCATTTTAGGCAGCCATGACCCAGGAAGGATCTCTAACAGCCATCTGAGGGGTGGCCAGTGAAGTTATCACTAGACTGTAATGTACACACTGTATTTTCTCTGAAAAGACAGTGTTTACAGCAAAAAGCCTGAAGGTAATGATTCTACTCACCAGAACAAATTCAATAAGCTGTAGTTGTTCTTGTGACTATAGTGTCCCTTTAACTATATTCATTGTCAGCCAGAGGGGAGAAAGAAATTGACGGGGGGGAGAAAGAAATTGACAGGGAGGGAGGAGAAAGAAATTGACGGGGAGGGGGGGAGAAATTGGCAAGGAGGACGAGGGAGGGGGAGAAGAAATTACGGGAGGGGAAAAGAGAATTGAGGGAGGAGAAAAATTGAAGCGGGGAGGGGGAGAAAAGAGTTGAAGGGAGAAATTGGAGAGAAAAGAAAATTGGCGGGAGGGGAGAAAGAAATTGAGAGGGGAGAGAGAGGGGAGAAAAAGACAGGGAGGAGAAGAGGGGGGAGGGGGAGAAAAATTGCAGGGGGGGGAGAAAAAGTGTGGGGAGGGGGAAAAGAAAGTGTGGCGGGGGGAGGGGAGAAAAGCCAGGGGGGGGAGAAAGAAATTGACGGGGAGGGGGGAGAAAGAAATTGACGGGGAGGGGGGAGAAAGAAATTGACAGGGAGGGGAGGGAGAATCTGTCAATTTCTGAAGCATGGGAGGAGCACTTCGCATGCAAAGAACTAATTACAGATAGCCAAAATAGTTAATCAAGGTTCAGAAGTGCCAGATTTAAAAGCAGAACTGAATAGGAATCCTAATCTTTCTCTTTTATTACAGAACCATCAAACATTTCAAAGTGGTTATTCTATAAAAGAAGGGTTGTTATGTTAAAGTATATCCATGCCCTAAGCAACAAAGGCCTATGCATCAAAGAGTGCCGGTTGAAGACAGCCCCTGGAAGTCAATACAGAATGATTTCATAGGTGCACTTACACTGTCCAAGGGAGGTCTCATATATGGCCCCAACAAATTGTAAAATTTGATCTACTCCTCAAACTCTGTTTGAGAAAGGGGGGTAGGCTTAATAAAGATCAAAATTATCCCTGGGATGCAAATTGGGAAGAGCCCTATGTAATCCTAGAAACATTGGGCAAAACATTTGTAAAAATGCAGAGGTCTATACAAGTCAGTCCATGTAGACCAACGTAAATTATACAAAGGGGCTTGTTCCCCAGGTACAGAGTTATCTGCTAAGAACTGATCTGCTAAGAACTGA